TGCACCATATGGGCCTGTTAGACGCTCTGAAACGTCACTCCAACAGTGAAGTCGTCCGCATGCTACACACGTACAAAAAGATTGCCTTTGTTCGCGAGCCTATGGAGCGCATAGTTTCGGCCTAGCAGAACAAGTTTGCCCTGGATTATGAAGGTAGAAAATATCACCAAAAATATGGCAAAAGTATCATCAGGAAATATCGCAAAAATTTCACCGGCGAGGTCACCGACGAACATTACACCAAGTTTACTGAATTTGTGAAATACTTGATTGATCTACCACCTAATGAGGGCCGCAATGAGCACTGGGAACGACAGCATAAATTATGCTCTCCTTGTATGATAAATTATGACTTCAGTGGAAAATATGACACGTTGGAATCAGACGCGCTAGAGCTTATGGGTGCCAGTGATGTCGTCACGTTTCCAGATAAGCGGGAAAAGTCGGAAGGCCTGGATACTAGGGCGCTTATGAAAACTTTCTTTTCGATGATATCAGAGGAGGAATTCGTCCAACTGAGAAAAGCGTACGATAAAGATTATGAAATTTTGGGGTTTCACAGACCGACTTATTCGGAAGTAGTTGACAGTGTTAGGAGCCCATTGCTCCTGGCAGTGTGTAAACTGATGCAATCGTTATTCCCTGCATTTATTCTTCACACAGTCGGAAAGAGTCAGGGAGGGGGGAGGAGAGGAAAAGGTAACGGGGGCTGCGAATGGGACTAAAAATTGGGGGATCCCGGGGTACCTTAGGCTCGAGATAATAATAAACCATACAGGAACAAGGATGGTTATTGCGTTAAGGATGGTAAAGATTGACACGGATAACAAACGACAAACTTGAAAGATTTAGCCTAAACGTTTTAAGATGTGCAAACCCTGAAGTAGCTCCTCTGAGTGAAACAAACCCGTGTTGGCACCAAATGAAATGCTCCTGACTAAAACTTTAATTTTACTGGCTCTTTGGGCGTTAGTATTTGATTTTACCTGTGTTCGTTTCGTGTAAAAGGTTGAAAACGACTGCAGGTTAAGTTATGTTTTTATTTCAGTGCAAATGTCGCAATAGTTCCTTTTCCACGACAATTCTTTTGCAATACACGGCCGAGCCAATCAAAACTCCGAAGACAAATACACGTAGGCGGCGCAAAGCGCGGGAAAAGGTGTGCGCGGGATCCGCGATTGGTTTTTGTCTTACTTCTGATGCATGTGGACGCATGCGCCAGTCTTTCTTAAAGGAGCTACGTCACGGTTTGCGCATCTTGAAAAGTTCTAAATTTTTCAAGTTCTTCGTTTGTAATCCGTGTTAATCTTCTCCATCCTTAGCCATCCTTGTCCCTTTGTGGTTTATCATTATCTCTTTGGTGTTTTTCTATCTTAGTAAACTGTTATTTTCAGGTTTCCTCCAATTTAAAGGTAATTTTGTACCTGGTCAAAATAGCTAAAAATATCGTGACTGAGCGCCTTTAACCAATCGCTTTGTGTTGTTAAGCAAATGCAAACTGCTTTAGACGCTTGAGTCTAAGTATGTTTTTATTCAAACCGTGACGAAGACAACGAAAGGTTGTGTCTTTAAGTCATACCATTTCTATACAATTTGTTATTTTAAAATAAATTAATATTTTGTTAAAAATATCTGCACCTTCAAAATATTTCTAACCTTAGCGAGCTATTTGTTCAAGAAACGAACTTGAAATGACTCAATAACCCAGTACATTTGTAGATTACAGTGCTGATAAATTAAAATAGTAAACGCCGATGGGTATTTTTGGTTTCTGTGCCTTTTAGTAAACATTTCAAAAGCTACTTTCGTTCATTCATTCATTCATCTCAGCAGAAGTCTATGAATTAAACTCGCCATCTTTGGTATTAACTCATTTCTTGTGCTAAGAGATTCGCTAGAAGACTATTGATAAATCCTTTTGTTCCGCGAACCAGTGGCGTAAAAGTGGCCAATCCCACTGAATTGCAAAATGACGGCAAACGTAAATCCCAATATGTTTTACCAGTAATTTGTTCACAGACGAAGAGAAAACTTCGGAAAGGCGGGATCACAGTAGATAAACAATTCGTCGCTAATGATTTTTGCTACATCTTTTTCCACAGTCTAAAGCAATATCAACGTCATTTGCCCTCAACGACGTTTAGGTCTAAAATTTGCCCACTCACGAATCTGATAGCGCAAGTCGTAATACAAGATGTAGAATTCATCACTATAAACTTCAGATCTGGATTTATAATTAGTTATATTG